ATATATATATATATATTGTTAAAAGAAAGTAAAAAAAAAAAATATTAAATAATTTTATCGGAAGATTGATAGTTATTTGGATTATTGTTTTAATTTGTTTATTAGAAAATAAGGTCAAAAAAATCATTACATAATTTAACGAACAAAACGTCAAAAAAACAACATTAAAAAATATATTTAAATAAAGCGTCAAAAATATTAAAAGATTTTTAAACCACAAAAACAAAGATGAATAAATAAAACAATAACTAATAATAATAATAATAATAATAATAATAATAATAATAATAATATGATTTTATATAATTTAGATAATTTATTTAAAAAACTAAAATTAAATTTATAAATAATGTATATTAGTTCTATTAAAATAAAGATAAAAAAACAATAATATATGTGTTATATATAATAATAATAATAATAATAATAATAATAAATTGTTAAAAGAAATAGTAAAAAGAATGAAAGGGTAATTTGGTCTTTTTATATGGACCAAGTACATACAGTGTAATTTTCACAAACCAAAAGGATGTAACCTGTCAAATTTTAAACTTAAGGACCAAAACTGAGTATTCGACCAAACCATAGGGACCATTTCTGTAATTTACTCTTTTTTAAATTACTTTATTTTTTATCATGATTTTTTTAACTCGACGTCTTTATATTTTCTAAACTTGGTAATTTAAGTCCTTTAGTAGAAAACAGTTTGATTTTATTATTAAGTTGTCTTATAAACATTTTTGTTTAAACCAATATTTAATCCCTTATAGAGTATGTTAGTTAAAAAACCCGAGTCAAACAAAATAGTATATTTAGTTAAAAGTACCATAGATATTTGCAAATGCTTATAGGAACTATATATGATATGATTATTATATTTCACAAGTCTCGTCGAAATGACTAAAACCTCACAATGGAATAAGTCCAAAACCTTACTTGAAGATAAATTAAGCTTCAATTGCTATATAGACGCTTACAAGTTACAACACAATTCTCAATAACTTAGTCCACCAGCTAACTGTTTAAACAAATAAGTATATAATAGCAATATACTTTCTAAAATTACCATAAATCATAATTCTCATCAAATTATTGTTTTATCCAACCGTAAAAATAATCTAAAACCCATGGAGTTAAAACTAAAATTTAAAAACCATCCGTTATAAATTTAACAAATATCTTATTCATGACTCCATTGATTTTGACTCTATCAAGTCCATATATACTATTGCTATTATTATTGCTTTATCAAACTAAAAACCGAAAAAAAAAAAAAAATTAAAAACCAATGTAGTAGAACCTAAAAAACGAGAGAAAACCAAACAAAATCGTTTTTTTGGGGCTAGAAAATCGAGTTTTCAAGTCAAAAAACAAACACAACAGAAAGAAAATGCTTATGTGTAGTTATGAGTCATGCATTTGGAGTCGATTCCACCGGTTTTTCAATTGCACCAGAAACATTGGAATTGGAATCAGGAAGACCATTGTTGGAATTCATAGCATTTTGCTTAGAATCATCTTTGGAATCTTTTTCGGGTGGTAACATGTGGGAAGGAGGATTTTGCTTTAAGTTCATAAAAAGTTGTCTCATTCTGGAAAGATCGGTTGGTTTTCCGGGTTTTGGGCCCTGAATTACCACAATTCCCGGTTTCTTTTCGTCTTCTTTCTCTTTTCTTGCTCTTCTTTTGTCAATGTTGGCCACCTCACGTGGTATGAGCTCCGCTATTGCTTTCCAATATTGTTGATCTGCTTCTTTATGAAACTTCTCTTGGTTGATCAAGTATAGCTGAACAAAAACAAGATTGAAGTAAAGTAACATTGGTTTTTGCTAAAAAGGGAAACCACATACAAACATTTGTACTTCTAACATTTTTGTTGGTTTACTTATTTAACTATTATACTATAGTAAGATAGTGATTAAGCTATTAAGAATTATATACCTTTTTCATGGTTTTGGAAAAAGACATAATATAGAAAAGTACATTTTCACCATTTTATATATTTGGCCACCATCAGAAACCAATCATTGGTTTTTGCAAAAAGAAAAAGCAAAATACATCACAATGTATAATAATCATTGATTTTTGCCAAAAAAAAAATCAAAATAAAGAAAAACAGTTGTACTTCATCGTTTTATCAGTTTAAGTTACTTGACTATTTTCTATAGTGATTTAACTGTTCTACCTTTTACCGTTTAAAAAAACTATTTTAGCAGTTACTCGGTTTTGAAAAAGGGTAAAATACAGAAAATCACAGCGTACTTTTTACCATTTTATCGGTTTAACCACTGAACTATTATTTTGGAGTGAGTATCATTATAATAGTTCGATGGTTAAATCTATAATGCAAAATAATAGTCAACTTGCTAAATAGATAAAATGGAGAAAGTACATTAAGTTTCTTTGTATTGTCCGGATATAAAAAACAGTGTAAATGGGAAAAAGATTTATTTTGACAAAATTATAATGATTTAATCACAATGAATAGATTTAAGTGGCTAAATCAATAAACATGGTGAAAGTCGATTGTATTTTTCTGTATCTCACCTTTTATTATAATTCCAGAAATCACTAGAGTTTGCAGGAGGGCACATTGTAAAAAATAGCAAAATACTTTTTCTTACATTAATTTGCTCACTCAAATTAAAAATTTGTAAGCGAAAGTTTAACATGCTGACAAAGTTGAATGGTTTTTATATGCTTTCTATAATATTAAATGGTCTTGATATTTTGAAGGTACTTTTTTAATGTCAGTCACCAGATTAGAAGGGAAAATGTATAAATTAGCACAAGGTATTTTTTGTAGTGATTAAACCAATATACATTTTTGACCTTTTAAAAAACCATCCAAGTTATGCGGTTTTGAAAAAGGTTAAAAGCACTGAAAATCATGATATACACATTTTTATCGATTTAGCCAAGAAATAGTTTTTTTTAATGAATTTATGATAATGATAATAATGTTCAGTGGTAAAAACGATAAAGTGGTGAAAGTACATTTGTATTTTTTTGTATTTTAACCATTTTCAAAACCATATCACAGGAAAAATTATTTTCTTAAATTGTAGAAAATACTTAAGTGGCTAAACCAATAAATTGGTGAAAAATACAAATGCTATCTGTATATTACGCAACGAGAATGAAGTAAAAGTGATTTTCTAGTTATAGTAATTTACCCATTGTAAGAATATGCAATTTTGGACAAATATTAAAATTGTAATGCAAAAAAAAATAAAAACAATCATATTTTATTATTTAATACCTTTTCTCGTTCTCTGTTTTGAGCTGTGTTGGTTTCTCTGTTCTTCTGTCTTTTCTCAATGAAAGCTCGTTTGAATTCATCAGCTTCAGAAATAAGCTGATTCCGCATTTCCCTTTCCTTCTTTTCCTTTTCCTCTAGATTAATAGCATTTTGGCTACACACATAAATAAATAAACCTCAAAATGCAGAAAAAACACAACATACTTTCACCATCTTATAGAATTACACTTAACCAGATTAAACCATTCTACTCCTTTTTCACCGACTATTATATCTTTTGACCATTTAAAAAAAAACAATTTTCATGTTTACCTAGTTTTGAGGAAGGGAAAAAATAAAAAAATAGCAATGTACTTTTCGTTACTAGTTTAATATAGCATCCTACTTTTATTTCTTTCTATTACAGCTTTATACTTTCAAAAATCTACCCAATTATAGCAATGACATCCAACCACAAAACATTTTCACTGCTGTAATTAGGTAAAATATTCAAAGTACTTTGCCTTCAGAGGAAAAAAACTAAAGGCACAATTACAATGCCTGAATTATTAAAAAAAAAACTTGAAAGTACAATGTTGTAATAGAAAGAAACAAAAGTATTATGCTCTAATAAACATATAAACGAAAGCATGTTGCAGTTTCTTGCATTTAACCCTAAAACAATGCTTGAATTTATTCAACACAACTTTCTGCGTTCATGGAATCATGGTCATTGCTAGGAATCAGGCTCCATATTTACACAAGGAGGTTTTTTTTGTTATAAAAGCTAGTTAAAGCATTGATTTAGCTTTAAAGGTGTAGAGAGATTGGTAAGAGGGATATATTAATGAGGAAATTTCAGGAAATAGCAATTGGCTTCACTCTTTTTACCAATATAGACAATGTACTTTACTTTTTACCCATAATAGCAATGTACTTACTTTTTGAGGCATCAAAATACTACCAAATTTATAATAGATGACCTTTTGTATATGAGCGACTATGGACAGGATTCTAGTACAAAATTATAAGTCATAATCACCAATTCAGTACCCGTATAGTTTCACATGTACCAAGATTCGAAAGGGCAGTTGCATTGCCTGCTAATCTGAAACACCAATGCAATCAAGAACGTGGTTTAGCTAAAACGACATACATTCGCACACTTGGCATGCATATCAAGATATACGAAGAACAACAAAGAAAACGTTTTCTCTAGAATCATCATTCAAGCAAGCATTACTTTGTCTAACAAATGTTCATAGAATTCGAACGAATTAGCAACCAAACATGGAGATAGAAGATCGAGATCTACATAATATGATCTAAGTAACGCATGTATGTCAGTAAAGACCATAAAACGCAATCGCACATATTTCCGAACACGAGAGAGAGAGAGAGAGAGAGAGAGAGAGAGAGAGAGGCAACAAAATAATAAGAAAATATGTCGAAATTACCGACGCCACTCGCGAAACGCAGCACCTTCCTCACGCATTTGGCCAGGATCAGGAAGTAGCGGCCCGCCGCCACCGCTATCACCATTACCAGAAGACGTGAATATGCCTTCAGTATCAGTTCCTAAGTCGTACGGCTTGGAATTGCCATTTGATTCCGGTTCAAAGGGGGGCGCTGAAGAGAATCCTCCAAAATTCTCAGGAGAATACGTCGTTTCATCTTGATGATAGGAAGGCGGATGAGGAACGTCGAGTACGTTGTTAAGGTCATCGGCAGGAGGTCCTTCGAACCCGTAGTTTTGGCCCGTTTCGTAACCATCGTTGTTTTGAGACGTAGCCGCCTGAATCCCCTCTCCTCCTTCCGTACCGAATGCGCCACCGAAATCCTCCATTTTTAGAGCTCTCTCTTTCTCTCTCAAGATGTTGCAGAAGTGAATTCTCGTTTTATTTCACGATGAAGGAGGTGGCAAACATTACAAGAAGATGTCAAACGATGCCGTAATACGTTCGTTAAACTAGGAAATGGTCCTTGATAGACAAAACTTCAAAATTGGTCCTTATGATTTACCAAAAACTTTGGATAGGATCCAAAACTTTTTTAACTTCTATGAAAGGTCTAAAATCAAAAAATTCTCTTGAGTTTGATCCATTTTGGTCCGTAAAAAACCTTAAAAGACTGTTTTACCCTTTTGATTTCTTTTTTCATTTTTTAATATAAAATATAATTATTTTATAATTAAAAAAACAAAAGGACATGTCCACCCTACCCCGACCCCCACCAGCACCCTACACTATCTTTATTTACTCCTTTTCCCAACCATCACCATGAAGTGTTCTTCAAGCCTCATATCCTATTCTTATCATCGACTTTGGTTCTATGTTGAGATTCAAAAATTAATTAATCTGCTCAATCAATTAAGCTAACAAACTTATTTTCATGAATTGATTTTTGCCCTATGGTTGTATCAGTTCATCATCGATACTTTTATAATTTTCCTATCCCGTGTTCTTTATTCACGATTTGATGTGTTCGATTCTTAATTTAATTCTTATTGCCATTTTAATCCAAGATAACAGTCCTAAAATATGTTGTCAATCTTTTTTGTTATATCGATTTTAGGATAATCTCAGTTGCTTTTTTTATTTCGTCGATGATGCCCTGCACGCACAGTATTCATCTGAAAATCTTTTTAAAGTGATGAAGTTTTAGATGATAATCAAAAAGTGGGTTTACCTGATTTCGATTTGGTTGAACGAGATGTGTTCGTCAATAGGGATAAACAAGTTTAAACGGAGATAGAGATGGGGTGATTTTTGATTTGGTTTGAAGATGGGATTGAACCAAAATTGATTTTTGATTTGGTTTAAATCAGTGGATAATGATGCTTGAATCGAAATGGAGCTTCAAAATAGTTCTAATGACCTGGAATTTGATGTTGAAGATGGATCAATTTTTTGTTTTGATGACATTTTTACTGGAGAACATATAGTATTCAGATGTAGAACGATTTTCAGGGAATTGATCTAAGGAATGATACAGATGAAAATAAACCAGTATAAGATAGGGGTATATGATCTTTATTAAAAGTTTGTGATGAGAGAGAGAGAGAGAGAGAGCATGCGAGAGTGAGGGAGGCTACCATTGGGGTGGATAGTGGGTGGGGTAAGGGTTATGACTCTCCGACGAACATATATGATGGTCATCTCCTCTGTTAAGCATATATATAAGGAGTTCATCGAATTTGCAAGTAAAGGAAGAAGAAGATGCAAGTAGAGGATGAAGAAGATGAGAGACTGAGAGAGAGAGAAAGAGAGAGAGAGAGAGAGAGAAAAAAGGGGAAGGGGGTATAATGATAGGAGGTATGAGCTTTAATGGTGGTCTATGGGGGTGGGGTAGACCCTTTATTTATATTTTTTACTAATTTCATAATGTATTTAAAAACTACATAAAATAATTGAAAAGGGCAAAATTTTCCTTTCACCTTTTTCAAGACCAAAACCACGAAAAATTTCGAATTTTGGACCTTCCACACAAGTTGGAAACTTTTTGGACTATATCCCCAGTTTTTTGCAAACCATAAGGACCAATTTCACAGTTGTGTCTTTCTAGAATGTCAATCTGGTTTGTAAAGTTAGTATTTAAGGAAAATTGGTCCTCCTCATTATACCAAATAATGTTTTCTTTGTCAAATACTATCAAAGTTAGGAAATCTTCATAATTGGTCCTTTAATATTTCAATATACATGTAACATCCCAAAAATCATGATAAAATTTTTTATTTTTTGTAAAACATTTACACAAACCAAAATATAATCAACCATTGTTTCAAGACAAATCCATAAAATTATAGTATCAAAAATCTCTCAAACATACATCAATAGAGGATGTGTACGATCATGCATTCGCCTTGCCCCGATCATCTAATGTACCTGAAACCAAGAAACCAACTGTAACATCCGGATTCCCAGGTATCTTAATTTATGTATTTTATTGAGTTTTGGAGAGAGACGCGGCGAGTAGGCGCTCAGACTCGCCGAGTAGAGTCGCGAATCTCCATCCGGGTTAATGACCGGACTCGG